CTAATAGCATCCCATTGTTTGACAAAAGTTTTTTGAAGCATTAATTGCATCTGAAGATTGCAGAGGAAAATGATCTGGCTTTGAACAAATAGTAAAAATGGTTGGGAATATCAGAAAGATGGTTTGCAACATGGCAACCCAAGCTGCCTGATATGATAACACAATTTTGATTCCGTGTTAAAGCGCCAGGTACAATGACAGCTTGATAGTGTTTGTGTGTCAGATAGAAAATCCAACATCAGTGATGGGCTGAGACGAAGATTAGCCAACTTTTCCAGAAGAAAACAAATTTCAAATGGCAGTGTCAGGCAGAAAAAAAGAGAAGCGCCAACCTCTGTGCCTTTGTTGTTCTCCTTTAATTCTGTTAATCGCCCCCAGGTAAAGATTAGCTGCTCTTGCCAATTTAATTCAGCCTCAAATGATGCTGCTACAAGGTCACTTTTTCTTTTCTTCCTCTCTTCCTCTGTGTCTTTATCCTCCCCCTCCTTGCCCAACCCCCCCCTCCCATCCCATCTCCCTCTCCTCCATTTCTCTTTCCTAGAGCAGGATTGAGTTGTCATGTAGTTCTAATAGGCAGCACAGGGAATCATTAGTCCACCTCGGCTCCCTGACTGATGGGTATTTCACTCCAATCATCTGAGTACCGTGCGTGTGTTTGTGTAGGTGTGTGTACGAGCGTGGTGTACTCCCGCTATACACACACACACACACACACACACACACACACACACACACACACACACACACACACACACACACACACACACACACACACACACACACCACACACACACACACACACACACACACACACACACACACACACACACACACACACACACACACACACACACACACACACACACACACACACACACACACACACACACACACACACACACGTCTTCCCCCCCCCAACCACCACAGCATTACGCGCCTACTGCTATTGACGGAGTGTCAGAGCTGAGGGGAGATGTCTTAATCAACTTGGACACACTGGGCATTGATTTGACAAGCTGCTGTAATGACCTTCTTGTTTGCGTAAAGGATCACTGTTTATCTGGGCCACAACTGATGTGCTGAGCATGCCTCATTGTCATGGAAACTATTATCACGGCTGAATTGGGAAGGGGCTCACTCTGCGGATCGCTTTATTTCTCTCTCTGTCACAAGCACACTGTCTCTAATGCACACATGTGGCCACACATATTGATATGTTTGCTACGTGAACTTTCCATGTATGTGCTTGTGCTTGAATGTGAGGTATAACACCCCCAGTCTAAATCGTCAGGGGTCAAAGGGAAAGGCTATAATTGGTGTCAACATCTTTTTACATCAATGTTATGGAAATCATTACAGACTGATGGATTAACTGAGACTGAGAAGGCTCAATAATCCCAAGACAGCCGTTTCATTTACCTGCCTCCAAGCTCTTTGGGAAAATTATTTTAAACGTTGTAGCTCATTGATTTACTAAGTGACCCATAATGACATCTAAAATGGATAGTTTATTCTCAAAGGGAAATTAAAAAGACACACATTTAAAAAAAAAAATGATAATGTTTTTCTAAGCATTACATTTTGTATCACTCTCCTCCTTGATCTGATGTCAGGCCTTATATTAGAGGCTATATGACATAGATTTGTTTTCATATGAATTATGACCTATCAGCCAGTACCTGTTTAAAGATAAAGAGAAAGATTGCCTTTGTGTTCATGCTCTAACTCATGGACGGTGTTGTGCTCCATCACCTGGTTCATGGCCACAGGCACACCCTGCTGCCTGACGAAGAAGACACTCTGCTGAGTCGATTTGCAGGGATCTCAGGTTCAGGGTGCTGTCAGCTTCTGTCAGGGCAATCAGCAACACTCAGCCTCCCCTGAATAGCCCGCACAGCAGACGGTAAATATTATTGGCATTCTGACACCCTCTCGCTGCGACCAAGTGTGTAAAATTGTTAATAAGGAGCATGATGGGGCCTCTGCATGCTGTCGTGAGAATGGAAAAGCTTGCTCTTGTTGGCAATTATCCAAATAACAGGATGAGGACAGGTGATTTAAGTCCTTAGCAGAGTGGTGGAGAGGTTTGTTTTGGCAGGCAGGAAGTGAGGAAAAGTCACAGAGGTCACATGGTAAACATTGTCCTTGTGCTATCCATCAATATAACTCCTTGTAAAATGTACCCCTTGTATGCACTGTTTGGAAAAATTGCTGAAGACACTGTCCAGAGACGAGGCACTTCAACACTTGAGGGCCAGTCTACATTATATATGATAGTCATCTTAACAGTACTAAAGCAAGTAAAGGTTGTTGGTGTGTCAGTGTTAAGTATGGCAGAGAACGAGCTGCTTGTTTACTGAATTCCACTGTTATTAGTTATTTCTATGCGTCCCCCTGAAAGTCTCAATGTGACACTGCGATAAGGCAAACAGTATTCCTCCCCTTGCATATAGCACGTTAGTCATTACTTTTAAAGGCATGGTATCTCCAAGTCGCAGAAGGACACGTTGATAGCAGAATAAAGTACACAATCGTAAACGTTCATGCCAGTGTTTCTCACTGTATGATTACATTTTTATGGTTCATATTCTGATATGGCTTGTTTTTGCTGCCGGTGTCAAAGCAATGAGACAGGCCCAGAGGTGGCATTTCTCCTTTGTTTTATGGGGGGAGAGATGCTGAGAGGAGAGTCCTGCTCGGTTTTGTTCGGTAAACACACTGCCAAGTTAAATGGCTGATCAATCAATTTCAGTGGGATCGATCTGCATCAGTTCTGCCTGCATGCACACACCCGGAGCCACTTTATTGTAAATCAATCATTTTGAAAACAACTCACAGAGGGGCCCGTCCTCACTAACAAGCCATCAATTCCAGCTGCCTGTGTAGCACCCTTATCAGGCCACAAATCAAATGCCACACAAACATCTGCTCCATTTCCATCGCTTTCCCCCTCTGCCTCGCTCTGTCTTTTACCCCCGCTCTGTCCCCGCCGCTTGTCGTGTTTTGATGGTGTGTCTAGCGGGGAGAAGAGAGGAGATGCTGCGAATCTTCACCACACACCACTTAAGATAACCCAAGGGTAATAGTGTTTGCACATTTGAGAGAGAAATGAGGACAAATGCCAGGGTGGGTCATACATTCCCCTTCTGACCGGCTGTTTGACGTTGGAGTGTGAAATTGCACACTTCAGCTGAGGAGGAGGAGGAGTGGGCAGGGCCCAGAGACTCATGAGATGTCTACTGATTTCTAGCTATGAGAGAGGAGTGGGTCAGTGTCTGAAAAGTCATCCTGCCTCATCATAACACCTCCGAATTGGTGCTGCTTATGATGTTTGAAGGATTCTCCAGAGATATATCTCAGTACCCTTGACAGCAGAGACAGTGTTAAGAGCAGTGTATCTAGAAGCCGATTATTTCAGTTGGAAAATTGCTGCAGTACATAAAGGTTAAATATATTTGGGTCTGTTTATTGGCATGCTTACGGCAGTTCAGGCCATTGGAGATGTTAAAGCTCCAACATGCAAAAGATAACTTTCTTAATATAACATTTGCCCCTGGAATAACTGGATCTGTTATCCACATTAGGTTGCCAAGCATCTCGATTTTATTGCGAAACATTCACATATCCCTGACACGACGGCAAAGAGAGATACCTGATATGATGTCCTTCGCTCATCCACTGTCATCGTCTCCATGGAGATATACGAGCCAATGTGATTCCAATGCTATTCCTACCCATCACTGTGGATCCCTGTTGATTGACAGTCTGACAGGTGAAAGTGATGGAGCAGCTAATAGCATGTCAGTTAATGTAAATCAAGACTAATGCCAGCCTCAAAGGATAAGCGGATTGGCGGTGTGACTTGGACCGTGGGGTCACCGACCCCTCCGCAGGGTGGGGATTGGTAAAATACAATAAACATTTATCTCAGGGTCCCCATGGTGATAGTCAAGGTCAGGCACTGGGTCTCCTGCAATTTCACAGTACCTGTCTATTGTATATACACCGTAAAGTGGAGAAGTGACATGCATACCACTGATCCTTCTCATGCTTTTTGATGTGATTGTACAGTATATACATTTTTTTGATGAATTGATAGCTATTATCCGTTTTAACTGGAAGTTCTCAGATCTGAGGCGTATAGGCCTCACAAACATCATCTTTTTTAAATGAGCCATGAGGCCCTTTATGAACATGTTTCAGCCAGTAATGTAGTAAGTAATCGTTTTTAGTACGTTTTTGTTTTTATTTTTTCTATCGAGTGATTTACGTTTAAAGAGGGCAGGGCTCGGTAAGCAAAAAGTGATGTCATAAACATCGGGATGAAGATACATTTATAAATGGGATGACTTGTTGTGCCTGTATCTTAATCATTATAAAGCGTATCACATATAATAGTTTTTAATTACATTTTTTTTAAAACATAATATACTAGACATTCTTTATAAAAATATTTTTGACATACTCTATGAGCTTTTTGAACATACTATACTATGAACTTTTTCATAAAACTTTGACATCCTAAACTTTATTACATTTTTTTTGAAGACATACATTTCATTAAGTATTTTTATTAATTTCTATACTATGACTTTATTCATGACTTTTTCACAACAAAATATCATATTACTTTTTTCTTTCATTTCTTTTTTACAAACTATACAATGACATTTTTTCATTAAGTTTTTTTATATACTGTATAGACTATACTATGACCTTTTCATGGAATTTTTAAGATGGACAATTATTACTAGTGTATGACATTTCATATGACTTTTCTATGGACAAATATATTATGATGAGATTATTAATAAAAGGTTATGGTATACAATACTATTCCTTTTTTTTTTTTTTTTTAAATATGAAGTAAAATGACCTACATTTTTATCCTAAATACATGTATTATAGATACTCTGACGATTGGAACGTTACTGAGGGAGCACAATAACAGAAGAAAAAACATTTCTTTGTGATTGAAATAAAACAGGAGAGTTTCCAGGTTTAGAACACAAATACATCCATTTTAATTTGAGAAAATACAAAAAGAAACCATGTACAATCTATGTACAAACTTTTTGTACAAGACAGTATATTTATCAGCAGATGATATTTGACAGAGTCAGGTAGATCAACTCAGCACCATCAAATAATCCTTTTATCCGTCATATTCAGAACACATCCAAACTAATTAGACTGCTATGTCAAACTCCTATTTGCTGCGATGATGATCTGTGTATTTACGCAAAAGCATTGTCCTGAATTATTTTCCTGAACTGATAGGCAACCAAAAAAATAAACAAAAATTGCAACTTTTCTTTAAAAAAACAACAAAAAAATTGCTGAATGCAATTTTAATGTATTGTTAAGACTTGAGACCCACGTCCCATCCCAATAAGTAGTATATGTTCTATTATATCTAGTACAATTCCCAGCAAATAAGTTATTATATCCATCCTTTACAGCAAAAAATAGATTAACAAAAATAATGCAACATACTGTAACAATAACGTATGACGCATCATAGTCTTTGATTTGTTCAGTGGACACAACACGTGATGTTACAGGCATGTGCCCCTATGTGCATCTTTCAGTCATCCATATCTAACTACACTACATAACACAACCTGATAACCCAGCACACAGTAGAGACAATATGTGTGGTTTGACAACTGGGGCTGCTATCTGTGCCCCAGCTGCCTCTCAGGCTTCCTGAATGCCACTTTTCGCTATAGTGGGACTTTATATGGGCCCTCCTCTTGACCTTTTGCGCTGCCTGGCACTATACTGGCATGGAGGCATTGATGGCTTGGATGTTCTCCATGCCAGTATAAGAGACCGTTCTCACACTGGAAAACACTTGGACTCAGCTCCCTCAGAGTGAGCTTTTGTCCCTGAATGACTGAAGGATGCTTGCTAAACTAAACTCTTCATGGCACTTCAAAAAACACTCTAAAAAACTTTAGAGGTATACAATGCAAAAACCTAAAACATCTAATAGAGACATATGACAAGGTTTAGGAAGGAGAGACATCTCAGTCCAGTGTTATGAATAATGCCAGTCTGAATGAGTCGCACGATGATGGTTCAGGTAGAAAAAGCACAGTAATCAAGTGTTATGAAACAAATGGTGCATTACTTTGAGAGTTTCTTGTTAATGCCAGTTTGCAGCATGTACCGTTTTATTTCTGAACAATGCTATGTTTAAGTAACTCATAAAATACTCTGTAAACAAAAAAGAAGCAGTTGTGACAGATGACATGCTGAAAAAATGGAATGTAAACCTTGTAAGAATGCAAAGTAATAAAAACAGGAAAATTAAGGATGCTCTCTCTTTTAAAACCTCTGCTGAATTGGTGCTACCTTACATCTTAGCGATGGCTGATTAATCAAATTTCTATGTTTCCTACTAGAGTACTTTCCCAGAAAAATCCAGGATCTTTCATTTTCAAAATACACATTTGTCTTTTTTTGTTAACATAACAATCAGTTTGTCGATTCTATGTATAAGTCATTGCTATTATCAAATGTTAATAGTTCCTTACTGTTCAGGCTAGCAATTATGCAATTAAGAACCCAATTAAACATACATTTTACTCACATATTTTTTGAAAAGAAATCTATATGCTACAAAGTGTGACAACGATGTAATCACAGTTCAAAAGTTCACTTTAGGACGATGTGTATGAGGCTTCAGTATAGTTGCACCACATCCAAAAGACTGATATTTAAGCTCAGATCATTTTGTTTGAAAAATAAATGTGGTTTATATAATGGGTGAATTCAATTTACACAAACATATTTAGCACAATATTATGTTCTTTTTCCAAATGTTCTTTTAGATTTACTTCAACTTTACAGCATCTAGAGGAGAATCACCGCATTAAACAGACAGCTTCTCACTGTCATATTTAAAATGATATTTTGTGGAAAACACCGGCACACTGTGCTTTAGTGTACACACTCTTCCTCATCACGAGGGACCTAATTTAGGTCAAACAATGAAGGTCATTCAGTTCTGGCCTGCGCACAGAGGGAGCGACTCTATTATCTTCTTGTTATTATTACTACTCTGATCTTCTCTTCAGCTAACTACAACATTTACCCCCTAACACATCATTACTGTTCACCTTTCTTTCTTTCTGCGTGTTCGCAGCAAGGGATGCCTAGTATCAGACACATTATTTTGTAGATACGACTCATCTGTTGCGACTAAAAGACGTTCCAGATGAGACTTAATCTATGTCTGCAAGGACTCAACAGAGCTGAGCTGCCAGGCTGAAGATGGTGGTTTCACAATGCAAGCTAGTCTAAGCTTTATTGGCTCCAGAGTGATGCAGTTTGTTATCGAGGGGCAGGACGAAAAATGAAACATTTTGTTTTAGTATGATGTGAAAAAATGGTGATATAGTCAAACACAATATTCTTTGATATGTAATTGTAATAAAGATATTATTTGAGTCTTTTTTTCTCTCCCATAGTACTCTTACATGGTTATTCTATAGAAAAATAAGTATAAATCGATTATGTTTATGGATACAAAATAATTATGTTTAAATGTATAAGTCCACCTACATATTTGCATGACATTTATGTATCAGGAGTACAAGGCTCAAGCCTCCATCCTCCATCTCTATCACATCTGGGTTTGGATCCGTATGGCCTAAACAAGTGCAAAATACACGCTCGTGTTGTCACAGGCTAGCATAAAGAACACTGGTTCCTCGTCAGTATCCTTATTGGCAGTCTGTGGTATTGTTGCATTTCACCCCAACTATTTTTGAGCATTTCCCCATGTTAGAGAAACGGACATAGCAGCTTAACTCCTGAGAGTTTTGAGGCGTGTGACATCTGGATTGGCTACAGAGAACATCCAAGCTCTTTACTGCCTCTGTGCCAACCCTGTGCCAGGCAGCATTGATCAAAGGAGGACCCATTGATGCCCACTTTATGCGATATGTGGCATTTCCTTCCTCAGACATTGACTTTTTGTAACAGACATAACATTCAGAAAATACACCACTCTTCTTTGTGATCCCACAATTTTCACAGCAAAGCGTTAACGGTGGGCACGCAGCTGCTGTCCGCATTAGCTCAAGGATAGTTGGGGAATTTGGTTTGTTTTTGATGCAACAATATCATTTTAGTTTTAGATCCAAACCCATCTGATTCCTCTACTGTTTGTTTTTCTACCATGACTTTCATTTTAGAGCAAAGACCCCACATGCTGCTCCTCTAAAAGGTGCACCAACACATACAAAGCGATGGAACAGATGATCACAACGAGTGGCTGTGATGCACACGCGCAGACACACACACACACACACACACACACACACACACACTCACACACAGCGTGCATATAATGTAAATGCTCCTGAACGCATGAAGCTAAGGGTAGGTTGTTTCAAATCCTTCCCATGTTTTCAGGTTGATCAACTGCACTGTATCCGTTATAGAGGGGGCTCAGGCACATATCATGCGATAGGAGCTTAAAACAGAGTCACAGGCTTCATGATCGGACATATCAGCAGAAGACATTTAGGTACAGGGTTCTCCTTAGTCGGCACACACCAACACCGCACCGTTTTTCGAGTTTTCAGACTACTGTTTTGCAAGACGATTTTCTTCTGCAGGACTGGAATGCTCTCACTTAACATGACAAGTCAACGGTGAAGTAGCAAACCTTAAGCAATGACATGATGTATAACAACCTAAGAAGATTAGTATGCCTTCAAAGCAGCCCTCCTCCCTCTTCTTTCCTTCCGTCATCTCCTCAGCGACAATTTATTGAGGGGGAATCTGGTGGTTCCAGTTGTTCCGACAAAAGAAACTTGTTCAGTTTTAGTGCAAATAGAACAGAAGCAGACAGGAGATATGAAGTCGGTGAACCCAGCTGGTTAGACGTAATGCATCATGGGCGGATCTTTGGGAGATGATATGATCAGTTTATCGCCGCAACCCTCATCCTCCAAGAACCAGTCACCTTAGCAATGGAGTCTGGTCACACGAAGAGGTGAACTATTGCAAAGAATTACAGGAAGTACTCTCTTTTTTTTGTCAACTCTTAAAATAATTCCAAAAAGTGCTAGGAGGAAGGGGCTGTACAATCCTTATTTGATTGTCATTATGTACATCACTATGGATACATTAATAAATAAAACAAAGTCCAAGATCATGGAAGTAACATTAAAAGGTATACACATAGGAGGTCCCTTTCCAGTTTGGGTTTTTGTCCAACCCTTGATTTTAACAATGAGTGAAGAGAAATGTGTCAGTCTTCAACATCCCTGTCACCATCATCATCACCATCAATCCTCCATGGGTGATCTTCTATCTCCTTTGAAAGAGCGTACAGATGTCTGGAGGGAAAACCCTGTGTTCAGCATTCATCTTCAACTTCTCTGATCGGTGGAATCAGACTACTAGTGGATTTGTATTGGTTGACTTGGTTGGCCATGTGAGTGCTCATGGGCTTGATCTGAATGTTCCGTGGGTATGCATTTTCTGGTTCATCTGTAAACCATTTCTTTTCTGGTGGCGAGAGAGGAAGAAGAGAAGACAGAGTTAGTTTGAAAAGTAAGGAACTTTGGATGACTTAAAAACCATACTGCCTCAGTTTAAGTGGTACATTTGCATGGCATTCTTTGTGATTAGCATCAAACTGTGAGGTCCAGGTTTAGTCGGTTTTCTGGAGCACTGAGCCATTTTGACATTTATGGTGGGATTGTGTAATCAAATACAGATGTGTAAATTGATTGATAGATTAATTTCTGAAGTATTCAATTTTAAATAACTTCATCATATGGGTATATTTTTAGATCTTCATTATTATTATTGGGTCATGTCTCCCACATAACAACAAACTCACTTCCTCTTCCATTCTAGCTAAGCAGACACTCAAATGTGTACAGGTTTTGAGATTTCTGATGCCATCTCAATACAATGTAGGAGAATTTAATTTAGATTGTGTTGCTCATAGCAACAGTGTCTCCCGTTTTCAATGGAACTGCTTTCTACTCTTTAGCTCTTAAGCTGGTTCAATGGATTATCCAAACTAGTTTCTCTTCGAGGTGTAAAGTGACATTTCATTTGACTATTAAGTCAATGCAAAGATGCGAGAGCAGGGCAGAAATAGACGTGAGTTTGCATTGGGATGCACAAAATGCGTTTAAAAATCCCCATCATTTAAAAAAAAAAAAGAAGCTTATCTTGAGGCTTTCTGACTCCATTTGGCGCATGTATACAGACAAAGGAACAAGACTGGAGGAGAATTATCTGAAGGGCTTGAGTTTCTGTTGAGTTCTGAAACGAGTATGTCGCTAGCTAACTACAGCTAACATCTTTAAAGTCTGTGAATAACCTTTTAGTTTTTGTCTTGTTTTTAAAATGTGTGCAATCACTGGATTTTATTTGACTTAATTTGAAGGGAGACCATGTTGCTGGGAAGTAATGTTATAGTAGATATTTTACGAGTAATTTCCCATACTTTGAGCCCCACAATCAATATTCAATATTGTTGAGGTGGAGGCAGAAATCTAATATTTGAATAGCTACTTATCACACATAGTGTTATACACAAAAAATATGTTTTGCTATTTTTTGGAGCTGGCCCTTTTAGCTGCCTTACACATGATACTATATCTTAAATGTGTACACTCATGCTTAAAGTTAAATATGGTATGGAAGAGCTTTGGAATATTTGAATATGTAATTTTCATGTCATGTTTAAGTAGGCTATGAAAACACTATTTTTGAGCAAAGGGAACATGTATGCCAGGTGTCAGAAGTTTGTAACCTCTTCACAGGTATCTGTAATGCCATTCAAGATGTCACTTCTGTTGGGTGAAGTTCAAATGTTAACTTTGCTATGTGGAGCAGACCATGTGTGTGAGAATGTACGTGTGTGTGTGTGCGCGTGTGTGTGTGTGTGTGTGTGTGTGTGTGTGTGTGTGTGTGTGTGTGTGTGTGTGTGTGTGTGTGTGTGTGTGTGTGTGTGTGTGTGTTAGCAAGCTTTAGGCTGAAGGGGCCATGTGGTACAGCACAGGCATTTGATGTGAAGAATTGTGCCCGAGGTTAAGCAAGATGTCTGCCAACTCTCTCCAGAGTCTGCTGCTGATACGGTGAACTTAAACCATCACATCAGGTGCACAGGGTGGGAGGGAACTTATAGACTCATATCCCCCTTCAATTTAAACTTTAGATTGGTCACACCTCCCACTTTCTTGGTGTGACTGATGGCACAGGGCTGGACACACTTTCATAAAGTTCTGTGAAAAAGTAGTAGTCAGCAATTGGCTGCATCAGGGGGATTTGAATCAGTCTGACCTACATGTGAGCTATGATCTGAGTATGTTCAGTCAGGCAACAAGTGGTGCATTTATTCTGATGCTGGTCAAATTATAACCAACTTTACTCAAATACATATATGAACACATATGACATTTCAAGGTATGCTACAGTCATCTAATAGCATTCAATAGGAGGGAAGATGTGAAAACACACAGACCTCTCACACAATGCAAACCATCTCAAGTTGAAATAAATCATAAAGAGGCATAATAAATGATGAAAAGAAAAAGTGAAAAAAAGGATTTGTGTGGAGGAGAAAATAACTCATATCACCAAGTGAATGACTGAGGTAAAGGCATAAAGAAAAGGGGGGTTTGGTCTCAACCTCATGCAATGTGGAGATGGTCCTGATCATGGCAGGGAGGAGGCAAGAGCAGCAGCAGACATTTTGCTTTCCAGATGAAAGCAAAACTTAAACTGAGGCATGGTTTACTTAACATCTGAAGAACATAATAAATAAAACAAACTCGCCTCGTCATAACAACATCCACAGAGGAAATAGTTATGACCAGGACCCCAGGTAAAGGTTGCTAAGTCATGCAGAATCGTTAACTTGCATACCTTGGCCCATTCTATTCATCCTTGTTGCACTTCAGAAAAAGAGGCAAGTAATCTACTGTAAGTAAGTAGTATTTACAGTCAATACACAACTGACAAATGACTACCAGTCTAACTAAGGCTTACATATTATTTCTACTATAGTATTTAGGCTAGATCATACATCTTTATTTTAAGATGTATTGAGGAATAATTATCTACCATTGAAAGATTCCTGAGTACGTGCATAACAAATCTGCATGCTTTTAAATAATGTCACAATTCCAAAATACTTCATTCCCCCATAAATACAATTCAAAGTTTATATTTTTGAGGGGAGAATAAGAAGTATATAACATGTAGGTAATCATATTTCAAACTATCCTATTATTTTATAATAAACAGAACAGGAAAGAAGGCTACCAACATGATGCAATAAAGCAGGACAAAAGCACCAACAAAATATCAACACTGCTAATGAGGAATGGTTTCATGAGTAACAGCTTATAAGTAATGTAAGCCAAATGTGCTTTATAGTAACTACAGTAGGTAAATCACAAAACATTACATCCATGATCAAGGCGTACTGATCACGTTTGTTAAATAGGCACAAATATCCAACGCACAACAATTAATAAATCACTACACATTAAAAAGAGTGTGAAACAAACACTAAATATTACGACAGATACAACAGGTAGACTGAACAACAAACCGAATGTGTGTTGTGTGATGTCAATATATCTGTCTGTGGTTGAGGCCTTAACTGAAAGCTTGTTTCCAACCACAAAGGCTGTGCCATCTAAACAAGTGGTTTTACTGTTTACAATGCCACAGACTTAATTAGTAAGAAAAGACTCTCTACAGTCTTTGACTATGATAAATGAACTTTCCACAAAGCGGGTTTACCATTTTGTTCATGTCATGTTATGATTGCTATGATGCGAGAGTGAATACCACATGCAGATGATTATGAAGGAAACGTACAAACACCGAGCATCGACGCAGAGCACAAATCTCACAAACAAACACACACTATACAGTATTTATCAGTGCATGTGTCACCACAGTCTGCACACAAACACACACACACACCAGGTCAGGTATAAAACACTTAACATGCAGGCTAATACTCTACAGGCCACTTTAGTGTACGTACTTCTGTTTGTCGCGGGGCTCCCTGGTCTTACTGCTGCGGTTCTGCCGGTTGGAGGCCGGGATGGAGTGGACGGAGGAGCTCTTTTTGCTGGAGGAATGGGAGGAGTGGGAAGAGTGGGACAAGTTTGTTCGGGACTGGCCTGCGTTGTGGTCGAACTGCATCAGGCAGAAGATCAGGTCTGAGGGCACCAGCTCAAACTCATACGGTGGGTTCGTGATCACATACCTGCCCAGGAAACAAATGATAGGGAAGATTAAATGTGTATAATACTTGAGGGGAGGCTTTAAACAGAGAAGGATACATCAAAGACAGAAAGGTATACTGTATATCGAGTACGCTTAATCCCTAAAACATTAAAAGGAGAAATATGAATAGATGTATGAGAACAAACGGATCAAAACTAAGGAGCTCAGTCTTGCACAGTATTTACTTAAGGACGTTCAGAGACTTTTTAGAATTTCGTTTGTAACTAAAAACACTGTATATACATGTGGACATGATAAAGCAATTAATTGTATACAATAAAGAGAAAAAGTACTGCAATATTCATTATATTTAATACATGTTTTGTCAATAAGGAACAACATTTTAATCACATTTCATAGATGTATGCATTAAAATACAACATAATAATATTATAATAATCATGAGGCAATGCCATATATCATTTGAATAATGGGTTTAAATGGAGACATCTATGTCTGTTAAACAGTACGTTATTTATTTTGTTTAACAATTAAGGACCATACTGATACGTTTTGAGCAATTTGTACTTGACTTGCAGTTATCTAAATGTTTATATTATAGTATATGATTATCATTGGGTAATATATATTCAATACATGTCCAGGTCAATGTCAAAGTATTATCATTAGTCTCTTTTTTAAGTTTGTATTTTATTATTGAATATCTAAGACAAACATTTTAGATTTAATTAGTTAAAAGAAAATGTTGACACAGATGAAAGACAGTGGTTGTACCGCTTTGTGCACGGGCTCGGTCCATTGATGTGAACGTCTCTTAATCTGTAGATTCCAAAGCACAGCATGTTGTACGTCTTCAGCGCTTTACAGAATAAGTCCCCATAGCAGCCGCCATCCTGATGAACAACAGAACAAAGACACCATCAGTGAGGTCTGTGTGAGGAACTGCATTGGTGGCAGTTCATGTAATTCTCTGTAAAGTTGTAGGGAAAATGCAATGTTCTGCATTGCTGAGGGAGTCTTGTGAGCAAATGCAAACTGTTGGCAATGTAGACGGCAACAATATGCAAGGTTATTTGCTAATTCAATACAAATGATGCTATTATTCACCCAAGAAGCAAATACAGAGAAGAAACTCATTATAAATGGCGTCTAATTAGAAAGAGTATCGGAAATAAAATTCCTTGGAGTAATCGTAGACAATAAATTAAGTTGGAAACCACATGTAAGCTATATCAAAGCCAACATGTTCAAATCAATAGCAATTCTGAATAAAGCCAAATACCTAATTAATCAAGCTTCTTTGTTTATGCTGTACTGCTCCTTCATACTTCCATACATGATGTATTGTGTGGAAGTTTGGGGGAACACATATAAAACAAATACACATCCTATCTTCATCCTGCAAAAAAGAGCCATACGAGTTATACATAAAACTACGTACAGAGAACCTACAAATAAATTGTTCATCAAACTAAAAACACTAAAACTACAAGACCTGGTTGACTATACAACTATTCAAAGCCGCAAATCAACAATTACCTCATAATATCCAGGGACTTTTCACACGGAGAGAAAGCATGCACATGTTGAGAGGAAACTGCATTTTCAAAAAACCACCCGTACGAACAAATGCCAAACTTCATTGCATCTCATCCAAAGGTGTTAGTCTGTGGAATAACTGTAATGATGCACTGAGATATTGTACAAGTCTATCTAAACTGAAAGTATTATTTAGGAGTCAAATCATTAATGGTTATGAACAGGACCTGTAAAATCCCATTTGTTGTTATTTCTTGTAATAAAAAAATAATTTATTTCTGATTGTTTTGTAAAAAAACAAAAAGCAAACAAATTAACAAGACAAACATGTCGCTGATGACGATGACCTAATGTTTTATTCATAAGAAAAATATATGCTAGAGGGGGTAGGACCAGCTTCTTCTTGCCCCTGTTGAACATGACAGAGACTATCTGAGAATTATTATTGGTTTTTTTGTTATAATTTTTTTTTATGTACTTTGTTATAATTATTAATTTGAGTGAGAAAAAAAAAAAGGAAAAAAAGAGCATATATATATATATATTATTGTTGTATGTTTTTGTTTCCGACATGTTCAATAAACTGAATTATAAATACAGCAAGTTGTGAGTACAAATAACAAAAACCTGAAAATAGGAAGTTGGAACCAATCGAATTTGGAATTTCTTTGATGGTGTTATTGTTTTCTCTAAAGCCACCTTCCTTCTCCACCCACTAAGGCCTGCTTTCCGTGATCACTGTTCTTCACATTGGATTAAGAGACGTGACGAGCGGAGGCGGCCCGATGTGTGCTGCTGGGTACTGCCAAAACGTGTCATCTTCGCTTAAACATCCACTTACCCCCAAGTCTGCAAAAGGCCCGTCGTAGAGGGCTAGCTGGGCGACGCGACACCTGTCTCTGTTGGCCAGTGTCTGCGGTGTGCTGTATCCTCCTCTGAGAGCATTCTCCTCAGCCAACAGGGCCTCCAGCTCTGGTGTGGCCCCCCCTGTGACCAGCGTCCGAATCAGTGTGAGGATGTTATCATTGAAGTATGTCTGGGGAGAAGAGAGAGGGATATCAGTGAGCAGATGCCGGTAGAGTCACAAGTAGGGAGGTGGTATATGAGGGAGAAAAGCAAAGCCCATATAGTGACCCTCAGACCCTCGTCTTTTCACATAGTGATGACTGTGAGGGGAGGAGAAGACAATAGAAAGACTATAGAGGGCTTCTAATGTCTTGTTTTAACAAAAAAAATATATATATTTGCATTTACCTCTATTGGTATGAGGCTTTGCAAATAGCTCTGGTTTTATCTGCTCAGGGTTTTGGAAATATGTCTTCGAGACCCCTTCCCACCCACAAGATACAACAGACTAACATTTTTTTTTTACATTGCATTTGAAGGATCGGCATTTCTGTTACTTTTGAAAATAGTAAGACCTCTCTGTACTGTTTTAATTAGAGCACATTTCTAGGAAGCAATTATTTTAACACCAGACCGTTCGACTAAATCAAAGCAAGACATTTTGCTGCTGAATTCTATAAATGTTTTTTTTCAGGATGGATGAGGCAGCAATCTTGAGACGGTTTTATTGGATCAGATTTTTTAAAACATCTCAATGTCTGATGCATGAATATCCGAGCTTAGTGAGGTATTATTTATTTTAAACAACACCCATTAAGTTATTCATTGTAACATTTCTTTTATAAGGTTAAGGTACAATGTCCATAAATCTATCACATTTAAGAGAGACATGATATTTTGATAATCACAGTATTGTAGGATCATTCCGTTAAATAAAACAGTTACTATTCTTTCCTCTAGCATCACTGATCTACACGCTGTATGGTGTCTGCTTCTGAAACAGCGATTTGACTGCTCTCTGCGGGTGTCAGGTTCTCTTGTCCTTCAAGCCGATCAGGAACTGCTTTTCGGTGTGTGAAGACAGCCGATGTCACTCCGCAGCGGGGCCAGAGTGGCAGCTCCTCTCCCCGGGCCCCTGACAGGCCTGTAGAGCCTCATGATGGATGAGCACTGTCCATTAGCTGGCTTCACCTCTGACCAGTGCCAGACTACAGCTGACGCCTGCTCTACTCCCCGCTCAGCTCCGCTCTGAACGCCCCTCTAACCCCTCACTCACAGAGAAAGCTGCTGGAATTAAGCCATCACAGCACCGAGGGGAAAACCACAGTTGGGCATGAAAGAGGGGAGTGGAAAAATGAGGTGTAGAGGAGGATTTGTTTGATCTCCCAAGATCCCCCTTTATCATATCTCCAGTGTAGCAATGACATTGTCAAGATGAGAGAGTGTTCCTCTGGCTTGTTACTTCCAAGCTTGTGTCATCACCATTACACTAACCTTCAACACTTTCTTTGTTAAAGGATCTATTAAGGCTCTTGAAAGTTGAATTCATAATGTTAATGTCAATGGAGCTGGCAGGCATGGGCGATGAATGTAGTATACATTTCATTTACCAACTTCTGCCTACTTAAAATGCCAAAATCGTGCATCCACTATCCTCCTTTTTCTCTACTGGGTAAGCATTCAATCTCACAGACGGATTAGCTTTCCTTTAATGTTAACTATTGATATGTCTCGCAATAATAGTTTTATTTTTCTAACTGTTGTGGAAATATTTTCCAAGGCCCATAACTTTGACCCAGTGTATCAGTTCAAACTGTCCTGACTGAGCACAGGCACCTGTAACCTTGGCTGCTGTGCTCTCAGTGTTTTGTCTCCCTGTTCCTGCCTGTTGGCGTCAGCTGATAGAGGTGTTATCATTCTATCTTGTTATGCAGCATGTTGATGATGCTCTCTGAACTAGCTAAATACATGGGTCTGGGGTAGAGTTCTTCAGAATTGACCTGGCAACTCTACCGTGAAGTCAGAACCTCTGACTCTTGGACTTGTGATGTGAATCCTCCGGCCGTTAACTCCAAATAAACCATCATGTGTTTGACATCAAAGCTACTGCTCTTCCCGTGTCTCCTTCCTGAGTCGGTGACTCCCACTGCATAGCTACACAGAAGTTTCCTCTACACTAACAATAAACTTGAGTATTTGAAAACAGGTTTCTAATTGAATGTGAAATAACAGAAAAATAGCGGTATAACCACCAAAAAAGGCAAAAGAAAACTGAGAAATTCACTACATTCTGGGTTTCGACTCAGTTCTGCTCATCCTAAAGTTTCTACAAGTGCAACAACATGCAATTGTTACCCGGTAGACGCAGCTATGTACTTTGCATGAAACCTCTCTCTACCTTCTATTATTGTGAAGACTCAGTAAGAGCATCCAAACACACAATTTGTCATTTTAAAAGAAATGGTCTTGAAAAGCACTCCACATGAGTGTAAAGTGTGTTTGAGAACTCACCGCGCTCATCAGGGAGTCGAGTACACTGACAGCGAAGGCAGTGCCGCAGGCAAAGGGCTGAGTGAGGTACAGCTCCGTGTCTGGGTCGTCATCATCGTCTTGGTCCAGGAACTGAACGTTAGAGTCGTTCACTGAGAGACGGGAGGGGGAGAGTTAGAGACGGGCGCTGTGAAGAGGCATTAGCCAAACACACACCCAGACACTAACACACCTGAGGGTTTATTGAGAGTTACATTTGAAAATATTTGGATATATTGTAGTATATAAGTAATGTAACAAAACCGTCTCAGGTATATTGGTATTGATCAAGGCTGGTTATATAATGTAACAACAGATGCACATTATATTTTGCTAACACACCTGTGAACATATTTCTTTATTAAAAGATTACAACTTACATGTTTCTTTAAAAAATGTACAGATTGAACTGATTTACCGATAATCAGTTTACAATTAAACTATATTTTATTTATAATATATTATTTTTTGTCTAATAGTCTGTTTAAAAATTAACTAAATATGTTATCTATAATTTGTAATTTTTGTCAACAATTTTTTAATAGTTTTGTTTATGTTCATGAACTATACATTTGTTTGGATTTTTTGTGGAATACTTCCAAATATTGAATATTAAATCTATTGTATATCACATGCAGGGTGCATTTTATACATTAAGACAAACCACACGTAAAAGAGAAGAGTCTTTTTTTCGCATACACAGTGATAACCATTGTCGAAGTCCGTAATTCTGAATAATTCATACATTTATCCTGCATTAGTACATTAGTAGCCACTGTGTCTTGATATATTGTAAACACACCAATTCTCAGTCAAGACACAATGTCCAGTCGGTGGGTTGAGTAGCCCTAACATAAAGGACATTATCTTTTCTCAGAAAAACGTCACAACTATTTCTCGTTGTATCCAGCATATATAAAAAAGTGAGACTTCAACAATGGCTAATATGTCACTTGAGAAAATCATGCACTTGTAAATTCATGCTTTTCAGAGTTTTCCTTGATAAATGTGTTTTTTCACATCATCACCTTCAGAAGAAAAGTCATCTCAAATATTTACCTTTGCCCTGAAATTCAAATTAAAGTCTAGTAACAAAACACACTTCCTATCTCATGACTAATAATAGCCAGGATATGCTACATGGACTAAAGGAACATTTCAAATGAAAATAAACCCAAACCAAAATAACAGATATGTTTTGTCTCTCAAGTATGGCATATACAGTATATGGCATAATTGGTGCACTAAAAAACAGTGTGTTCCCCAGTGTGAGCCTTTTTTCTTAGGTTGTGTTTCTGTCAGCAGTGGGCAGGGTGTATGAACTTGAAAAATAAGCATCACACACGTTTTGTTTGACTCCTCTGTTATCTGAGCTTTCGAGATATGGTCTGGGAGGGAAAAAATAAACTGGAAAATACATTTAAAAAATAAGATGGTTTGATCTTGAGTTTGTTGTTTTTGAATCTGATTTCTGCTCAGGCTTCCTGTGCGCTATGGAACAGAAAAGTCAGTCAAAGAGACAAGAGGCTGACGCAAACGGGCCTGGGCCAAAGGATTGAAAATGTGTGTGTGTCTGCATGTGTGTGTGTGTTAGTGTTTGTGGAAGAAGAAGGGGGGTGAGGGGCAGGGGGGTTGTTGCTATGAAAACAGCCACAAGGACAGACTGAGCATGATCAAAAGCCTAGCTAGGCGCTGCAAAAGCAACTGGAGGAAGAACATTTTCTTTTTAAAAGGAGGCCAAAACAAGACAGTCAATTTCAACCAGAACGGAGAATAGAAATGTGTTCAAAATGAAGCCATGGGAGCAGCGAGGGCCTTGACTACAGCCAGATAAATCAAGACAAGCTGATGAGGAGCAGAGCGGCGAAGCGAGAGAACGAACGGCAGCAGAGGACAAAGGCCCGGCTTACCCAGCTCTGTTATCATTTGTATGTTGGTTCCATTTTTTTTTTTCCTGACTGAGTGAAACCAATGGCAGTAGTTTGCCAGGTTTAGCTAATGGTGATGAGACAGCGCAGGGAAGACATGGTGTCGTTACTGAAACAGTTTCAAAGGCTGCAATAAATGCCTTTTGCTGTCTCAGACTACTCGTGTCAACCCTGGGATTTACTCCGAGACATTCAAGGTTGTCCGGTATCTAAAAGTAAAGCACCCTGGATTAGAGTGCAGTGGATACAAAGCCAGAGCTGTCAGGCCGCTATACCACTACAACAACAATACATTATTTCACGGCAAGACATTGAAAGGGATAAAGAGGGTCTTATCCATAAACACACCTACTATATGCCACGCACACAAAATAGATCATGCAACTCGTGTTTTCATGTTCCAACTACACTTTAATCTGCTCCTGGCGCTGTAGACTGAACATATGACAATGTAATTACAGTACCGTTCCAAAAAGACATGCAACTGCTCCCTCCTTTGCACACAATACTGAAGCTTTCAAGCCCAGGATGTCTTCTACATGGATAGCATCTACTTCTGATAAGTACGTATGCGGTCAGCAGTCTAATGGCAAGCGCCTCTCTGCAGGTAATGGCTAGCCCGGTTACAAGTAACATTAGGTAGCTCCTTTCTCTTTCTGGCCTTTTCTTAGCTGGCCTCATGCTCCATTGCTCCCTAATTGGGTCAGGGGAGACAGAGTAGCCAGTCTCTGGTGCTTTAGAAGGCCCCTCAGAGATCTGAAAGTTTCATGAGTCCCCACCACCAGTGGGAATACAGCCACTGCCATTGTTATTAATAAATGGACCCATTTTGCAACCAAGGCAGTTTTTTTTTTTACCCTCCACCTTTTCACTCTCTTTCCCTTTTACCATCTCTTGTGCATTAGTGGACAAATGGCAGGAGATGTAACTATAATCCTTAAAATGCCTGTGTGACATCCTCAAGTTCCAGCTGTCCACAGTGTCCTCAGATGAGAGATATCATACAGGCCTTGCAGCTAACATTATCACCACTTGACAAAAAGCTAGCCAGATCAAATGATTCACTTGTGAACATGAACTTCATTTGGGCAAAGCTACCAGCACCATGAGAGTGAACAAATTCCACACCACACATTCCTCAAGCCCATTTGACCTTGAATGAGTTGGAACTTTTGGAAGCAGCGTGACGAGTCTTGTATAATCAGCTTTATGTGTCTGCCAGTGAATTGGGAGTTGATCTGAGCTTATTGGGTATGGCATGCAATGTTTGCATTTGAGATGTGTGTTTATAAACGGCTTTACCTAGTTCTGTGATGATGGGGATGTTGGCTCCGGTGGTGACGGAAGCCTGACGCACAAAGCCATGTACTGGACTGCTGTCTGGAGATGACCGGTCCATTCCAGGAGGCGTGAAACCTGAAAAATACACATAGATTTATAGAATTTAGCAAATATATAAGGGGCTGGCAGTAAGAGAGATACAAGGTTTGCAATAACTTTTTTAATCTTCTTATATACCAACATGGAATGACTACATTGCCACTGAAACCCACACGATACCTTTCACTATGCCTTCAGAGAATGTGGAAAGGAAATACAACCTACCCACCAAAAAGGTAATTTCTAAAAAAAACAATCAACTTAGATTGATCGGATTTAATGAATCTCTGTTTCTCGTTGTACTATTAATATTTATGTCAAAATCAATAAGCAATACATTTACAATTTATTATATATACATCCAATTGAGTCCAAATCTGGGATGGCAGTTACTGATGTGTAAAGTTAGTTGCTTTATCATGAATTAAGCTGTTTTTGCTCTCTATTATAATTGGATTTAGCAACTGCCTCATGTAATTCTTTGGATTACATTTAGTAACTGAATTACAAAGATGTCAGTTCATCAAAATGGATATTTCTCAATAGAACAACTGGGGGGAAATCAAGCAAGTCTCATGAGCTAGCTTGATATAGCTCTCTTGTTGTTTTGTTGATAGCCTTTGGAACATCTGAAGTGAAATGATGCAGTTTATGGCAGAATAATAGATGAAACACTTGACAAAATGTAATATTCTGGTCAGCAGGCAATATGGTCTGTTGCATTCTTTTTAGATTTAAAAAAAGAACAATCCAAGCAAAAACCAGTCTGATAAGTGTTTTACTGAAGAAGTATCATAAACAAAAGGATGTGACCTGGAACTCTGTATCAGTACCATTATCCATAGTGCATGTCAGCTCAGTCAGCATAAGGTTGTTGATGTGTGTTTTCTGTGTCATTCAATTGTGCGAATTGACAGAAAAAAGGAAGGATGGGAAGGCTAAGTAAACAAGGCACCTGCCTAAAAGTTGCAATACGGATACTGTGCTTTTAGGGGTCAGCTAAGACACATTTAGCATTCACATCCTTCCATCAACGGGGAAACATAAATGTTAGATGTTGTTCATTTTGTTACAATAAAATTGGTGAAGTGGATCCTAAAAACCTTTTATCGGAAATGGTGTGGCAGGGACCATGAAATACAAGTGCAAGTGACAGGAGTATGAATTCACATGACTTCACATTTTTGCATTTCCTCAAAGTGACAAGTAAACACCTTAAATCTGTAATGCTATATGCATAATGCATCAACTGTGTTTTGACATCCATCATTTAGTGCTGACTACAGCAAAATGCTAGTTTATAGTGCCACCACCAAGGAAAGATAATGCAGGGAATATATTCAGGTCACAAAGTTTTAAAAGGATTGCAAATTCGCTATGCATGTGAGTGTGTGCCTTTCCTGTCAAGAAGCTCAATGAGCTGCTTACATTACAAAAGAGATCTTCCCTGCCCTTTGCAACAGAAACAACACCAAATAGTTTAGTACACAGTAGGAAGCACACACTGTACTGAAGCATAGATAACACTTGACACTTTGAGTCAACCAGGGAGCACAAGCTAAGACAGTGCGAAAAATCATTTTGTCGATGTCCATAAATGATGATGTTTACTCCACTGGAGAGTGACAGCAAGTTTTTGGGATACGGCCTCTTAAACACTGTTCTTATTGTATCATAGTGAACATGCAGACAGCACGGAACTGTAGGAGAACAGCTTCTGTTTTGCACAGTGTGCAAAGTGACTGTTGGTGAGAACAGCAATACACGAGGCCTGCTGCTGAGCTGCTTTCAAAAACGGTTAGCTTACAAACAGCTCAGAAGTTGTGATGTGAACTGGTGAGCTCCAAACAGAGAGCTGTATGTCTTCCTCAGATGGAGTCAGAGTACTGCAAAAATGTGCTAAAGCTAAAATGTGTCTATTTGCCTAATCATGTCCTCTAAATCAGAATTAATTTAAAAATGTATGTATGTTTATCTCTTTATGCAACTAAACCTGAAGGCAAAAATAGTTACAATTGATCAATATACATTATACTTATTTTCTACAGTAATTGGCTGTTTTAGTCATCCTGTAATTTATAAAATATAATGATCTTATTGAGAAATTACAATTTAGAAGCCAGGGTTTGAACAGTAGCCGGATCACACACTATGTCTCCTCTACAGGCAGGATGTTGCTACTGTGAGGCTGTAACCTTGTCTGTTCTGCTAAAATATACAATAGACAAGTGAGATCTGGGTTACATACCCCCTTACCCCTGTAGCCCCCCGGGCACAGCTATGCTTTGCGGCTGACTACATGCTACAGCAGCCGTGAGAAGCTCTCCCCCAGGAAAGTGCATGTTTACTTATTCATTTGCACCTTCTTGTTTTAAATTCCACAGACAGTGTCTGAATGGGAGCATCGCTAGAAGGAAGGAATCCCCAAAGCAATACCTATGATACAATACTGGTGTCTGGATATATGCGTCCTTGTGTATGCATGATTGCATTTCACTGTGGTGTGTGTGTATGTGTTTTCTAAAGTGAAGTATTTATCACTGGAATGGGTGGTTGATGTAAGACCCAATTATTGATGACAATAGGCTCCATCCATCGACCCTGGGAGAGGATATAGGCTAGTGTGCTTCCATATTGAGGGTGGCTCTCGGTGAATACTGCTCCCCTGAGCGGCATGCTCTAAGATTTACCCCTGATTATTGTTCCTCGGTGGCACTGCTATCGACAGCACATCACTCACTCAAGGCTGGAGAAATAACAGCATTGGCATTCTCCTAAAACATGTGGAAGTGCTCAGCACTAAAAAATAATGGCCTCTTGGACCTTCAACTTTGATTTGTATTTACAACACTCTCTGCCGTGGCACTAAATAGCATCGAGCTCAAGGGATGTCATGCCTTTCGGGCTAATCATAAACTGAGGATTACCTGTTTGTAGGTAACGATTTTGCTGGCATCTATGTGTGTATGATACGTGCGCAGAAACACGTGCACACGATTTGAAACTCGACTATGTGTGCACGCTTGTAACGCTGTTTTGTTGTGACTAATGAGGAGCAGCTGAATTGGCCTGCCTGGTGATTTGTACTAGCTGCTTAATGATGATGAGGCCTGATGGGATGCCAGGTTCGTGTGTTTGTCTGCAAACATCAACAATCTGTTCCAGACGATCTGCCAGACACCAGATCAGGGGGAACAACATCAAATGACACAGTCATGTTGATTACATCATTAAAAAAAGTATTATCAAGGAGTTTTAACAGCATGTTATTACCAGGAACAAGACTGAAATCTTCCGAAAACGATGTGTAGTAAACGCTCTTCAAAGGTTCGATGAGGCAATCAACAAAATGTTTAGTGTGTGCACTTCTTCAGGAGTACAGTAAAGTCAGTTCATAGCTGCCACTTACCACACATTTGAACAGTATTTCAATGAGCGGCACTTGGCAGACTGTGCTTGACAAACTACATATATTCCCCCAGTGTGGCCTTCTCATCCCCTCCCAATTTTTTCCTCTCCTTTTCCCCCCCATCTTTGACAATTGCCTTTCCCCCCTGCCATAACCTGTCCCCTTTGGGCTGTAGTGCAGATGTAGTGTAATAGGACACTCCTTACCTTGGGAATTAGCCTGTAAGACCCCAATGCTGTCATCAAACTGCATAGATTTGATGTTGAGTGATGCCAAGATGCATTCCTTATCCTGCAGTGAGGCATCTTCGATATTGTTCTGATTGGCTGACAGTATTACGCACATGTCGCAGAGGTTGATGTTGACAGCCCTTAAATCTGCCCGACTTAATGGCGTACCCTTCAGGGTGAGGAGAACAGAGAGAAAGAGCAACAAAGAGAGAGAGAGAGAAAGAGAGAGAGAGAGAGAGAGAGAGAGAGAACAGCCAGACAGAGGGGAGAGAAAAACAAATTTAAGGAGTGAGCGGAGTGGAGCTTTGGGAAATTAGTTAACAAGTATTCTTGTTTTGAGGCGATGACATTCCACTGATCTAACTGGGCATTGGAGAATCAGAGACACGGACTAATCTAAAGGCTAGCCTGTGCTGAGGGCTGTGTTTGGGATTCTCCTCTGATCATCAGTCAAGCCAGGCCTAACAAGCTCTCAGGCAGCAAGCCACGCCATCTGTGATGGGCACTGCAACAGACATAAACTTCATTTTGGATGTGGAGGATGTGTCACTGCTCTGGATGATGGGGGATTACTACGCTCTCATTGAGTGATCATTCAATTGAGTAATGTGTGATCAAATCAAACTGACAATCCCTGTTCAATGTGCATGCAACTCAAAATGTCAGTGCGTTGTTAGTTGAAAAGAAATTCTGGTTTAAATGTGTCTTGCGTGGCAGTACGGTATACTCACAGGTAAGATGGAGACCTTAGGGAAGTTGTGTAAAGTCTCCCACTCTCTTCGCAGGTATTCCAGCGAGCCCACAAAAACTATTGGCTTTAGTTCGTGGTAATGGAAGTTACTGGCTCTTAAAGGCATCACCAAGTTTCGCAGCCCCACCAAAGCGGACGTGACATCCCCAAATATACAGACCACCACATGGCCGCTCAGTACTGTCATGGAGGCTTCACTTCGGGTCTGCAGGGAACAGGGGAGGGATAGGGAGAGAAGAGCAGAGAGAGAGGAGGATGAGGAGGAGTGCACACACAGAGACAAACACAGAATTACAGAGAAAAAGAACGGATTAATGTGCATGAAGTGACACATTCTAGTTTTAACTATGTCTGTTATAAACTGTTATAAACCAATATAAAATAGTTTGTTAACCAAGTATTTAGCTGAATTATGTATCCACAATAAAAAACATTTGATCAACAAGCCTTAGCCTTACTATTAACACATAAACAAAGTTTGGTTAACCACTATTCTGTTTATAAGCAGTTTATTGAATAAGATATAGGAAGTTTACACATCAAAAACACAACATGTGGTATTTTTTCAAAGGGCAGAAAAATGCAGTTTGTAAGATTTTAGGCACGAACAGCATGTATGAGTAGGACCCTGTCATAAATCAGCGAGGTATAAATAAACAAAGCTTCTCTATTGTATGACGAAAAGAACAATGTGATGCCCTGCTTTCAAGATCTGTTGCCTGTCGCAGCGGCTTGATGTGCATTTGATTGCAAGTTTGAGTGAACGCTGAGTAAACTAAACGCTACTATGATCCCAGTGTATTTGAAACTAAAACTGTATCTTTGTTCACTGGAGACATATAGAAAAAACAAGGGACCACTATTTTAAGTTTTCCCATACTGTAAGTTAGTGATCTGATGCATTAAACATTTTGTTATGCATTAAACATTTTGTTCTGCATTATTTATTGGTTTAAAAAAAAAAAAATGGATGACCCAACTGATCCTTTACCTCCCCTTTAACTACTGTAATTAAATCAACAAATATTCCCTAATGTAAACTATATAGCTTACTGTGTTTTAAGGTTTTGATTTCATTTGAACAGTATTTACCTCGTCCAAACAAATTGTGCACTAACATAAATGCTTACAAACTGCCTTGTTGAAACATCCGAGCAAACCCATGCGTGGAGTATTGAAATGCTGTTCACAGATCCTTGGTGGATATATAAAAAACAATAAACTCACCTTGAAACAACAGAGAGGCGGTGAGAAAAATGTCAATATACATTAGTATGCGATTGTTTTGCTACAATATCGAGGGGAAACGTTGGCTCCTGAGCATACTTACTTTAACTTTTTTTACCGCATATTCTATAATATTTTCGGGGTTATGCAGTTACAAGGTTTTTGCCTCACTCACCAGGATGACTTTTTCGATCTCCTTTGACGGGCACCAGTGAAACATCCCTGTCGAGTCATACCTCTTCACGTTCATGTCCATGCTCTCGATTTGTTCATTTCCAGGAATAAGAAGGGGGTCGTGTCGACTGAGAAAACAGTACGATTTATTTATGTTAGACCATTTTGTGAACTGACCTTGTGGAGAAGGGAGCTGTAACATGAAAAAGGCAAAAGACCACCAGGGTTTCTTGAGATGTTCACAGTCTATTCATACAACGTATCAAAAGTGCATCACATTCTCAGAGTGTTGGACTTTCTACTGCACTACATACTGTATGTCCCATAACTATCATGTAATTCATTCATTCCTTCTTGTCCTTGTTGTCAAGTCATCAGAAAAACTCAAAGACCCTGGTGCTTGCAGCGGTGCAGAGAACAGCAAGACTTGAGTGCTACTGACTGAATGGCATGACAACACAAGGCCGATTACCAGCTTTTACACTCTCTCCCAGCTCCTGACTCCACGCGGTGCAAATAGTAAAAGCTCCAACAGGCTCACACTTTAAATATTTCAGGAATTTGCCCAATCACATTTTGCTTTCCCAGCTGATGGCCATTAATGTTTCAGCAGCATGTCACAACCAAACAGGCTAATCCACAGCACTGGGCTGCTGAGTTTTATCCGGTGCAACACTGACCATGAAAGGGCTCCTGTCAGGCCCGTTAGACCGCCTCTCTTGTTCTTGCATTTATCCTACAAGATGGGTTCTCACAGTCTTTCAGGCAATCCATAACATTTCATCCAAAACACTGAGTCAGGATAAACTGAAGAAATGTAGCATTGTTCCGGAATAAATGCGTGTTTCACAGCAATGCAAATGTAATTTATTTACAATTCAACCAAAATAATAAAACCCTAGGTTAAAACAGCAAAAACAGGGAAGTGCAGAGAGACAGACATTTCAGTAATGTGGGAGAGAATATCTCAAGAGTTTGACATACATCTCTCTCAGTTGTATTCTCTCTTTCCTCTATCAACACTGTCATTCACTGACAACGCTTTGATGTTTCAGCCAGCATTTGGGTTGCATACCAATGCAGTAAAAGTAAGAGTAAAAAAAAAAAAAAAGCTGTCAATTAGCCACCTTCTCTCTCCACCTCTCTCCCCTCTATCAGTTAGTGCAGGTGATAATAACACTGACAGCATTTAGTGTTTTTACACTCAGCCTGAATCTTTCATCCAGAGCCGCGTGTTGCGCCAATCAACTCCACAGAGCCCCCGTCACTTCAATCTGCTCAGCTCTGCTCGCCTCCACACAGGGGCTGACTGGCACATGCAGGCGGGCTGCCGCTCCAGCTCTCTCTGCCAAGACAGCTATCTTTCACAGAGCTGTCAGCGGTGTGACTGGCAGGCTGTCACGGGCTCCACACACCTCCTCCTCCCTCTGCCTTCTCCCTGCCTCAGGATGAACCTAGCACAAGACTCGGCGAGAGCAGACATGACGTGTGTGCCACAGTGCCACGCCCAAGGGATATCAGCTGCAGATAATACTGTGACATCTTCTGCGATTGGATGCCTGACCCGTCAAAAAGGTTTGTGAGAATGGTGTTAATGCCATGGTGTCACTGCAGCTTGTTAGCACGGTGACACGTGACATTGGCAACTTGACAATTAAGGCATGTTGAGGATAAGCCAGCTAGGACGCAAAAGTGTCATTACCCTATACAAATATTCATTTCTAAATACATTTTTCTTTCACCACCGGGAAGTTTACGCCCCATAAAACATTCTCTACACTTCAAAATTGTATAAATTCAAAGTTAGGATTGCAAAGTAAACATATTTCCTTGGTGAGAAACAATATTTTATCTGATGCACTTTTATATAGGACAAATATTTCCCTTACAGCATATCTCCCTTCAGTTTCTCACCCTCTTCCTTTCTTTCTTTCTTTCTTTCTACCTCCCTCCCTGCCTCCCTCACTATATATTTCAAACAGAGTTGAGTTATTCCAGTGCATCACTCTGCAGTCACAAACTGGGGATGGGCGTGCTCCCACAATCCCTCTCTGCCAGACTACGAAGGCAGCCTCTTGCTTTGAAAATTTCCCCCATCATGCAAACTGACAAAGGCATGCTTTTCAAAAGCCCACAGCCAATCTGTTGATCATTATTTATTTACAAAGGCCTTCAGGCTGCAAGTCCTGTAAAAACCATACTTGATACGTATGCTCACTCTCTCGCAAGCTCTCTACTGTGTGTTCCCCCTCCTTGCTTGTAGAATAAAGTATCCCTAAGGCTACCTCAAACAATCACTTTTCATTGTGCATAAAATTCACCTTGTAAAGCACAACTGTTTAATATATATGGTGTTATACGTTGACGGGGGCAGCTGTGAAGGGGGGCTGAGGACTGTGATGGGTAATTTGATGTTTTGCTGAGGGCTAAGACAAGGAAAAAAATCTACACCTATAACAGAGGACCTGTCATCCCAGTACCCAAGAGCCAGCAGAATACTGAAGCACCCCTAAAGCTGAGAAAACTTTGACACCGCTTTGAAGCGTTTTCAAAACTGAGTAAATAACTCGCAAGAATTATTATCACTGCGAGATCAAAGCAAAGATGCATATATTACATGTCAAACAGGGACCATCTCCTAAGCAAAAAAAGGAAGAGAAGAAAGGGTTTTGTGCTTTAAGTTAGGCAAACTAAACAGCCTTTTAAACGAGCAGTTAGCTGGAAATGTGCCAATGTCTAGCAGTTCTACAAAAAAAGCATTCTCCCTCTGAGCAAGGGCAACTAAAAAGATTCTCTGTTGCAAACTAGACTGAAGGGTATGACTCTGTGTTGGGCTAATGATTCGGCAAGTGTGAAGGCTTATTAAGTGCTTGTTTTGTGGAGAACTGAGGGGGAGGCCGACAAAATACTGGACGACATCACATAGGCATGCTAACGCACACGGATAACTCTGCCTAAGGGAAGCAAGCAGGACCAACATACAAAGAACTCTACTAAACTAAAAGGAAAATACACCACAGCAAAATAATAACCAAAAGCAAAACGGATTTGAAGAGTTAATAGATAGAAATGAAGTCTATTTTAAGTGATATTTGTATTAGCAGATATTAAAATATGTTGGTTTTTTGTAGTTTTTCAAGATGTAAAATCCATTAGTATTTATTTTGTACCCACACAATTCAGATACAGGAGTTTCTAATGTAGCTTACACTGACAAAAAACACGCAGCTTTCTCTTTAAATTACAGTCAATTCGTAGAGATGACAACCCAAACACTTTCCCTAATTAAGAGTAGGGCAGCGTAGTGTTCCTGTCCTCTTAGATCTTCTCCACCATGCCTTCATCCTGCCTTCCCAATGCGCACAGCTCGGCCTCCCTGTATTATCCACGCTGCCGTGTTGCTAACCCCGCCTCGTAGCCGGGGGAGCACAAAAACCTACCCCTTTTATCTTTCAAAATCAATTAACAGCAATTTAATTCCACAGGACAGGATAAAAGGAAGGTAATATTTGAATTCATATTTGATTGTGATGATACATCGCACATATGGCCTTAAGTACCAGAAACAGTACTCACAGGGGTTCCCACAATAGAGGAGTAGCCTGAGGGCAAAGTAACCATGCAGGTCGCTCTGATTGGTTGCTGGTGTCATTAGTGCCAGCATTGTTTAAGGAGCACATGTGGACCAGACCGGAGGAGGTGACAGCTGGGACTTTAAAGCCAGAGGAGTTTTCAAACGGCTTCTCACAGATGCTTTTCATGACAGAAATATTATTTCAGCTCTGTCATTAACAGCTGACAGCATGCCATCCTAAACAGCCAGTGCCAAACAGGGCACTTCTCCGCTCTCTTTCTCTCACAGAGTTTCTTACCTCCTTCTTCTGCCACCCCTAATTTGCCCCCTCCCATCCATCCAAACTCCCACCATCTCACCATCCGCCTCTGAAGTATCTCTCACACGCATCCCTCCATCCTTTCCTCCTGTCCTCCCTCCCCTATTCCCTGCTTCTGACTTCCTCTCACTCCCCATTTGAAGTGCTGGAAGGAGAATAAAATCAGCTTCTCTTACCTCATCATTTTGGGCGAGTTGTTGGGTGAGTTTCGCATCCCTCCATTGCGCTGCTTTTTTTTGGGGCGAGAGAGTTGATGGATGCTCGTCTTCGACTGCAAACACATGCACAGAATGTCAGAATAGAGACAGATGGAAGTGTGCTGGACCTGACATGAAAAAAATAGCCAACACTCAATCAATCATTGCAAACAAAAAAAATCAACAGAAGAAAAAGGAAATTAATAATTCAGTGTCAAATTGAGAAAATATAGAGAAGGCATTAGTAACGGACAATGGTAAATCTGAGAAAGGCAGGAGAAAACCACGGAGAAAGAACCAATTTACGAACTGAAAATGTTACGGAAGGGTCACATCCCAAAACCCCCTAGATGTTGGCTCTTCTACGGTCTACTTTAACAGGGCTTTCAGAAATACACTACTGCATTTTTTCAGTACACTTGCTACATTTTGCAAATGGTTGGACCTCTAGCAGTCTGCATCAGAGTGACCATGCTTACCTACGCCATTATTTGCCATGTGATGGTACAGACTGTCATTGTCAGTGGGGCGCGGGCAAAAGCAATGACAATGAGATAAAGGTTATGTAGATGAATTTTGAGAGGATAGTTTTTTGTTTGGTTTTTAACAAAACTATCTATACCGCACCCTGTCATTCCAGTTCTAAACTAAAGCGCACAATGGCTCTTCTACAGGTCTACCTCCATGCCAAGAGAACACTTAGCACTCAACACACGTCACTAAGGACAGGGCACAAATTAGTGGATTATTAAAGCAACTAAAACAAACACATCATCATCCACTAGAAGACAGCCAGGTCTAAGTTCAAATGAAAAATTAACTATTTATATTAGATGAACCATTTGGTGTTTGATGCTTTGGTGTTAAGCATTTGCAAGACGCTGATCAATAGCCACAATGTTTTTTAAGGATTATTTTTATCAGATTCAACTTCACCTTCTTGCCAAATATGCTTTTCTGTGCAAAAAACACTCTATTTTTCTTACTTTGCTCAACTCACAGACAGACAGAGAGGACGAGAAAGAGCAGCCAGATTGAGGCCAGGCCCAGGCGTCTGAAGATTTCAGGCAAACTAACAGCAGTCTGATCTTCACTACTGTCTGTGAGTTTCAAGAGCTTTTAGACAAGCACCGAGAAACTCTTATCCACCGTGCACTCTCCCAGCGCAAATGCCAAGTGCACCGTCACTTCAAACCCATATTAGTCTTTTGGTTAGAAATCAATAACACAGCATGATATTAGAGCGAATCAATGTGCAAGCCGTGACTATTCCAAGCATGTGGAAATTCATTATTGTCTGAGCCCCCGTCCAAGGCTGTCACCTAATTCTGCTAATAAAAGATAAGAAATATGACTTTGCCTTCTAATAAAATGTCATTCTCTGACATTTATTTTATGCAATTGGGCATTTGGAGTAGCTAATAGAACAAGCAATTTCCACTTAACACATAATTCTCTCTCTTATGTACTCCAAAAAATATCCCATTAGAAACAATACATTCCTCTCCATATTGTTAGACAAACAAGCTTCCTGGTTTAAACTTAGAATGTTTCTAAAATCACTTGTCATTCCACAACAATTCAATGAAATGCTTTGCAACCTTAGGGTAATAAAAGCTTTTACAGTAATGAATAAACCGTAAGCTCAGTATCCTCAGAGTTCAGAAGTGTCGCAGCATTTCTGAAAATAGACACTAATAAGCAACTATTTTGTGTTTATTCTGAATATTCTAAGTTCACATAATTTAGCACTCCTCAGTTTGGAAGTCACCCTATGTAGACAGTAGCAGCCACTAGCAGGCAAATCTGTGTAAAGCAGCACGAGCAGCAGAGTGAACCGTCATGCAGCAAACAAGAAAATATGAAGGGACGGAGCAGGCGGTGTTACTGACTGATGCATCCCGCTAAGGGGGCAACCTACAGTGCCTACTGTGACTGAGCTGCATGGCATTACTGGGGTGGTAGCGGTATTTCACCGGCAGACTGCGGGCCCGGTTCAGACGACTCTCAGCCAGGGTTCTGGCCGCCACGTCTCCTGGACCTGAGACACTGAGACGCAGTAGCGAGGGGTCAGCCCTAGCCCCCGGCCCCAGGGGGAGCAGGCTTCCTTTACGGTTATTAACAAGGGAGATGTTGGGTTTGCCCGGGTTGAACAGGGGCTCCTTGTTGGGGTGCAAGTTGTTGGAAAGGAATGCATTTGAGGTGATGGAGGTGGAGTTGCAGCCGGTGGTTTTAACAGATCGCTTTGGAAAAGAAGGTCTACCTTCATCCATTACTGTTAAAACAATGGAGAATAGAAAGTGTGAGAAAGCCTGTTTTAATTTAATTAATTTGTTAGTATTTAAATTATAGTGTTTAACTGTGGAAAACACTAGCTTTGTTGCTATATTTGTTATATAGATTTTTGGTTTAAAGGAAAATCTCCTTAAACAAATGGAATTAATTTATGTTATTTGAAATACAAGAGTGATTAGTATTTTAAAAATCTGCATAAGAATCAAACACACACATTTAATTGTATTTTTAAATAAGTGACTTCTGAAAGTCAAAAAATCCTGCCATCAAAGCAGGAATCATTTATCATTTATTTTCTGAAATGTTAACATCTCCAATCTACTTGGCACACGCCCTGACTGAAATGTTCACAGTGACATTTACTTTGCATTAGTGACAAACATTAATTAATAAAAAGTCTCTCCGTTTGTATTTCTTACTTGTGCTACAATTTGTGGTAGAACAAAGCAGAGACACGGCTTGGCTTAAGCCAGTCAAATCCAATCAGACATTGTGTCATTTCAAGCATAATGTGTACCAGTACTTTCACTTCAACAATATAAAGCTACAACTAATAATTTATAATATTACTAATTCAAAAACTTTGTATCATTAAAAATGCATTTAGGATTGTGTGTGTGGTGTCGAATGAGGTTTGAGTCCAGACCAAAAGTGCATCTTTTCTCAAACATGCTGAATTTAACTAACATAGCAGGATAACCAGTATGTCCGGTGACAACCTGCTGTGTCTAATATGAGAATAAATACTTTCTACTGCATGTAGAAGCCTGATGTTCACCCAGCAGTCATACCAAACAAACACACACAGACACATACACACATTGTGACTGAGGCTGCAGAGTCAAACCGTATGTTTGCATGTATTGAAGTGGTTGTTAAGTTGAATGGGAAAGGAGGAGCCCTGTTCTCCCTTTGGTGGAAGGGTGGTTGGTTGGTTGTTTGGAGGAGAGAGCATGCTTGGGTGGCCCCGGGCGATAAACAGACGTTTATCCCAGCCGTCAGCTGCCTCCTTGATTTACGGGGCGCCACCGATAGCTCCTGGATTCATCTGGCCCTTGTCAAACACGTGCAGCGTTAGAGAGCGCTCACCCGCCCTGGCAGGTCCACTGTGCATCCTGAACAACCCAGACGGCAACTGTCCCTTCCTGAAATGCTAATCACATGACGGTACTGTCCACCATGCAAGCTTTATCAGATCGCCGTGACCCAATGTAAACTGGATGATGAGGCAGAGGAATAACAACTACAAATGTTTACTTTTGTATGTGAGCGAAGCTGGCTTTGCCTTTACGGGGTTTGCTGCATGAGCGAGCTTTGTTCTTTATCTGCATTGCAACTGCATGAAAAAGCTTTTATGCCATGCATTGCTGTTTCTAAAGATCAAACTTAAACTGATATACGACAGCTGCAATTATTTTTGAGCCACTATTTCAAAGAGGAAAAAAGAAATCAGTAAAGAACAAATACATTGAATAAAACAAGGAAACTGTTGCTTTTGAAGTGACAAAAGCATAGCAGAGCTACATGTACTTTTAACCAGTAGGGTCAAAAAATAATGCATTTAACAATAATTTAAGATTTACCTAAATTGCAATCAGCTTTGAATCGAACGCCAGCCTCTTTTTGACTTCCACTGTTCCCTGGTGTTGTAGCGCCATCTGCTGCTACATGCAGCACAATACAAAAAGAGTATTTTATGGAACTACATGGTATTATCAAACACAAAATAATTTATTTTCAGTTGCTATCAATAACAGGAACTTATTAATTAAATTATTAATTTACGGTCAACATATATTGAAATTATTTAAGTTAAAATAAACAATATGTCTGAGTCAAACATTGTATTTAACACTTATTAAACGGTACGTTTACTTTGTCTCTGTATAAGACAACATCAGTTTATTCTAAAGGAACAAGGGAGAACAAGGCAAATACTAAAGCAAAGCATCAGTATTATTTATGTTACATGACATTGTGAGGGTTCTACAGTCTAAACACAGAGCTGGAGCAGAATGGAGAAGGACAGAGAAACACACTTACGTGATCTGACATATCCATTATACTTATATTTGGCTGAGGAGAATGCAAAGACAAGTGGCAGGTCACACAGGGGGATAAATGATGTAATGAAACAGGCACATTAGGAAATAGAGACATGGAAATAAAATCAAATGTAACTATGATGAAGTAGAGTTTTAGTGAAGAGGATGAACCAGATATTAAAAAGGTACAAATAATGGAGATTTTGTAAAAACCTTATAGTGGTAACGATTAAAGAACAACATGATGGTGCAGACGGCTGAGGGAAATGAACTATCCATTCTCAGAGTGAGCCATGCTTTTAGGAAAGTGTACTTAACCTCTAATGAACTGTAATGGCAGACTAATGGTTGTTTAAAACAAATCTAAAGCCATCAAAGAACTATTTTAATGGTAAACAGTTTCAATGGTAGATTCAACAACTTAATGTTTTTCTCATTTAATACTTCAAAGTATTACATGTTGATTTAATTGTGATGGGCATTGTGATGTCTGTAAATAGAACAAATAAAGCCACCATGGGGAACAAAGACATCAACTTCACATATGAGGGCATGTAGACGTCCAAAACACAGACAGCAGACACTCGCTAGTCAAAACAGCTGCGCTTACAGAGCACCAATGCAAAGAGACTTGATCTTCACGTGCAGTAAACATCTCTTGCACAAATTGACTTTCTTTTTTTAAAGGACGATGCCAAAGATGGGTACAATGCTACACTTTCAAATCTCCTGGG